CCCCCCCCCCCCCCCGCACACACCCGCACCTCACGGGTCTCTCTGCTTCAGTTGCTGACCCGGCTGGAGATCAAGGATCAGCCAGTTTGGGGGCTGACACAGGAGGAACGCGAGCTCGTCAAGGTTGCCCGCGAAAAAGTCAACAGCTGTTGATGTGTTTTTACAAAAAGTCAACGGCTGTTGATCTTTTTTCTGCACGGGAAGGGACGCGCCTGCTGTCGTTAATGTTTTGTCTGCGGGTCAAGCAAGGTTTATATTGGAGCAACGCGCCGCGGTCATCGTAAGCTGTCCTCACTGGTAGCATACGCGTACCAGGAGTCCTTCGCCTGGCACGTTCAGGACAAGGGAGGGGGTCGAGTGATGAACAACGTGGCATGGTCTTGATCGACGGGAGATATTCTAGGCAGTTGAGATTGTTTGGACACGAGACTTTGTGTCGTAGCGCAAAGCACGTTTGTTTGCGTGTATAATGCCTAGTCTCTTCGAGAGACGGTGTGTGCGTGTTTCGCCGCCGTTGCGGTAGGTAGGTCTGTGGCTGCAACACTCACAATCACCGCCCGGCCACTACAACCGTGGAAGAGGGAAACAGCGAGGGGCTGTTACGGAAAAAAGAACAGATGGAGGAGAAATAAACGTTTAGGCGGGGCGTTGGGTTTCTACGTAGCTGTCTGCGCCCGCCCCGATAAAGGGCTGGGACACCCGCCTATACGTGGCAATCAAATTGCATGGGATACAATTTCCTAGGACGTGATAAATGTATGTGTTCGCGCTCTCTTTGGATTCGTTGGCAACTGAGGCAAAGAGTACCTACCGTATAAGACGCAAGATAACACACCCCCTGGACCGATTTTCAAAGCTCGACTACTCAACGATGAAGAGGATGCATAGACGAAACGATACGTTGTCAGAGAGCTCTCGACCAGACGTCTTCAACACTGTACAACTACTACCTTCCAGGGTTACACAGGAGGGGGTAAACACCAGGGCTTTTTTAGGCCTGTCCTCCATCGGCCGTTTTGCTTGTATGACGGAGAATAAAAAGGTGGAATTACTTGAAATTTGTGTAGAAATAAAGTTTGCGTATCTAAATCGAATTTAAAACGGCCGATGGAGGACAGGCCTAGGCTTTTTTCTGCTTTTTAATTCTTTTCATACCCCACCTCCCTCCTGCGGTGCGTGCTGAAATATCTATTTTTGTCGCGAGAGGGTCCGGCTGCCCCTTCCTCGTCAACGGTGCTTACGTCCAAGTTTGGTACCCACGAGAGCTTTTTAGCTATATTTCGCGCTCACCCGCACACGTCGTAAATGTTTTACCCCATGGGGATTCGAACTCACGATCTCTGCGACCAGCGGAATACGGGGATACCACTAGACCACCGGGGCGACCGGCATACTAATCCTAACCCTAACCCTAACTCCAGTCAAATCAAATACCTAGCATAGTTGGGTGGGGGACGGCTGTTCTTCCTACCGTACTCTCCCTCCCTTAGGGTCGGGAAGGCTTGTCACGAGTGGGTGCTCGCTCCAAGTCTTCTCTGCAAGCAATCTGTTCTCATCTGTCTTCTGCAGAACCCCATTGCGGTTCCATGATTTCGACAATATTTTTCTGCGGGATAGTTGTCAACGATGTAGAGTTTGGGATGAAATGAGGCCTCCGGCTACGGCACGGGATCCACCCATCTTTCACCCTTCGGCTATTCATGCTGTGTCGGTGCCTGATGTCTGATATTTTATCCCAAACTTCCGTACATACTAATAATCGAGTTTCGATAGCCGTTAGTGTAAGTCCCGAACGCGAACGTCTCCGCGAAGCCTTCCTGCATGGGCAAATCCACTGCTTGGATATACCGCTGCTCCTGCTCCCTCCGGTCCGGATCTCGCGGACGCTTAGCGGAGGAGGCCCCCCCGCGTATGATGGGGCCTACGTACCGCTGGGCTACCCTTCTCGTCTTCCACCCCACTAGCTCAATAAGGGCTTCTACCGCCGTCCCCGCGAGGGACTGGCTAACGGCTCCTCCCACCCAAAGGAGTGCATAGTATGCAAGCCGTGGTGGTCGTTCAAACGGCCTTCCCGCATATGACTTTGCAGAGCCGCTGTCATGCGAGCTGCGGTCCACTGGGACGTCCCCCTCGAGCCATCTTCCTGGATCTCGGGAAACAGGTACCCCTCACGCATACTCCAACCCACGGACTTCGCGACAATGAAAAATTCTTCTACCGCTCGGACTTGACACAGTAGTTCGTTACACTTCTTATCCCTTTCAGCAACGACTGCTTTTGACGAACTGCGGAGCTTCTTGCCAAAGTGAAGGTTGAAAATAATTCCTTGGCCTTCTGGGAGGCGCAACACCTGTGCTGCTAATGCGCATGCCAAATCGAATCCCCGCTGCATCGTGTGGAAGGCGACTTCAAACGCCGCGACGTCTCTACTGCGAGCCACTCGCTCACCCACGGTGTGTAGCTGGGTGTTGCGCATGTGCCGTACGAGGCGCAAAAGGAGCGGGGCCAACATGGGCCTGACTTGTTTGACGGTAACGCCCGCCCGGCGCTGTTCGGTTTGGGCGTACGAGAGGTACCGACTAACAGCCGCGCTATCGGCCGCATTACCTCGCTTCTCCCTGTCATCCCACGGATCAGACTTTCCTAATATCTCGACCATGGCTCTCGTAAGTTTCGCAACGAATCCTCGGTCCAATGTTTGGGCCGCGTCTCTCTTCGGACACGTATTTCCCGGACCAAAGGACTCCAACGAATTTGACCCGATCGCGACACAATCGACTGCATGAACCACCTTCGTGCCGTTACCGTGAGAATCAGCACAACCAGTCAAGTACGTCGGCGTCGATGGCGCTCTCCCGCCCCCGACGCCCTTCGGTGTGCACTCTCAGAAACGCGTCGAACTTATCCGCCACGGCCGATTTCCGGCGTTGCCCGGCTGTAGTCGCGGAGGCGACCTGGACGGCTTCTTTGCGTGCCGCCAGTCGATCGGCATCGATGATCACGGTGGCCCCGGGAACACGCGGCTCTAAATGCCCCCGAAATGGCTGTACCCCGCAATGTTGACAAAAGTTGAACGTCGCTTCGTTTTGTGCCCCCCGCGCACTACACAAGACTCGTGGTACCCGGTCCGGCGCGCGCGTGGCCCCGGAGGGAATGCGCTCTAACGTCCCCTGGTCGTAATGCTTATGTCATACGAACGAAACGAACGATGGCAAGGAAGCAACACCTGTCAACTATCATACGATATGGTTTCATAAATGACGAAAGTCCAATTCTACCGCTCGCATTCCGTGTCTATTGTAAACGTCTTCGCGAATACCGTCCTGATGGTGAGGGTATCCAAAACTCTCCCGTCTCGGCAACACGAGCGATTTGACAGTAGCTCGCCCAACTCGCGGTATCCAATACTCGTGCACATCCGGTATCACGACTACGGCGTGGACCCGGCATTCAGCGAGATGCTGGATAACATGACCCACCATGACCGGGGGTGGGAAACAGTACCCAAACGCAGGCGTGCCCAACCCCGGTGTAACCGCCACATCCTGACGTAAAACATCTACACCCGCCGTTCCTTCGCACGAGTAACGCGAGCAAAACGGTAGTCGGCACTTTGCCCCTGTATCAAGCTCCACCTTATATTGGGCGTTCTCGGAAGACGACATAAGGTCTACTGTGAAGTCGCCAAAAGACTGGCGCAACCTCTCAAACGCTGCCGGTCGGAGACAGACGATCTCTTGCCTCCCCGGCCGCGTAATGATATCAGCGACTGCGTTCTCCGCCGATGGCACCCATCTCAGGGTGAGCCAGAAACCGTGTGCGACCTGCAACTCGAAAATGCTAACCAACATCGCATGCGTAACTGAGTTGCTCGACCGCTCTTTCCGAAAGGCATCGACGGTGGCTCTATTGTCGACGTCCATCAGCACCTGGGCCCGCCTGAGCTCCCCCGACCGTTCGCGACAGCACTCCTTCAATACTTCGAGCAGCGCAATCATCTCTTTGCCGTTAATGGCGCGCGGCAACCGTTCCGGGGGAAACTCCCCTCCTGCCGAGGAACGACCACTTGGTAGCGATACGACGCCACCATACTGATTGGACGACGCGTCCGACGACGCTGTCGTGATGGAAACGTCGTAGTGTCAGGATGTATACCACGGCCCCTCCTGCGACGTGGGCGACAGGTTAAGCCATATGCGTAGCTTCGCGCGGAGATCGTGTTTATCTTTCAACTGAACGACGCGGCCCTTAGCGTTCTTAATCGCTGCAAACATGTAGTGGGTCCAAAGAGACGCTGGCCGAATCGCCACCGACATGCTGACGCATTTTCCAGCGATCTTCTCCAGCATTCGTACCGATACCGATCCGTCTGCGAACACTTTCCGGGTGAGCGCATGAAGCTTGTGTAGCTTATCTTCCGGAACCGATAGGAAGTGGTACGCGAATCGCATATGATACCCAAATACCGCTGCTGCTGCGACGGATAGAGATCACACTTTTTGATAGACAGGAAGTATCCGCACTTTTACGAGACTAATATTCCGGTGTGGAGAGCTTCCGCCGCTGACAACCACTGCACGCGGTCGGACTTCCCAAACGTGGCCACAAAATTCGCGTACTATGCATCATCGATGTATTACCAGAACGGGTATGCCCCAGGAGCGTAGATACGCCGCCTTAGCTTCGCTCAGGGAATGATAGCACACCGGGCTCTCGTTCCGTCCGAACGGAAGAGTAGTACACACGTAATCAACACCTTCGTAGTGTACGCCGAAAAGTGGCAAACTCTCGGGTTGCAGGCTCAGGTTATGAAAGCCCGCTCGATCATCATAACCCCCATGAAAACCCCCTCTTCGGCTACCGCCGCTACACGTGAAACCGTGTCCATCGTAAATGGTACATGTCTACAGCGCTTATTGAGTGATATACCGTTGATGATCATACGTGGCTTGGTAGGCTCGACCGAATATAGACAGCACCATCCGTGGCCTATCCGGGCCATTAGGAGCTTTAACGTCAGCCCACCGAGCCAAACAGCCGCGCTTAGCCAACTGTTGCACTTCGAGTCTCACAAATTCCGCATGATCGTCGGGGATACGGTTGGGGAATACTGCTCCCGGGAATGCTTTCGGGCGATACGGTTCGTGACGCGAACGCCCGCGGTATTCCTCGATGAGAAAATCGAAGACGCTGACGCCGTCGCGTAGGTACGACATGAGTTTGTGCCTATCGGGATGATCTCTGAGGATAACCTTATCCCAAAACTGGTAGTTATGATTCAAGCCTCCAGGAACGAAATCTTCGCCATTTTCGCCGGCGTCTCGTACGGGAGCTTCCCACGGCAGGCGCGTGTGCTTCCCTCCTCTCGGTTCGCGTTCTATGTCGGCCACAGCAGTGGGTACATATTCTACGCCCAGCTTTGATCGTGGCCCCACCCGCCCTTTTTGTTCGTCGGGCAGTTCGGGGGCCGATGCGCTGTGACCAGGCGGACCCACCGAGAGACATGGCGGACGCAAAGGAGAAGATACAACGAGACTCCGGGCTCATTATCGCAGTAATAATACATGCAATGACAATGTTGGTACACTTGAACCTACAACCTACCCAGGTTGAAAGCCAACTGCGAATGGGATCGCTCAGCGAATGTTGAAATGTTCTACAAACGTCAGTAACATGTTGAAATGTTCTGCGAACATCCAAGCGAAAGTCAAATATCCCGGAAACGTCAATAACATGGGCCGTTCGTACGCCAATAGTCTAATGGAGCAGAGCCCAATATATGATCATGTTCCCTTTGCGTTTGCGGAACGTTCTATTTCGGAGGGATGGGGCCGTGTCCGTGCTCGGTGCGGCCGCGGTAGGCCGGGAGAGGGCCCACGCGACATGTGTGGTTCTAATGCACGACAACCCCGAGCCGTTCGTTCACGGATTAGTCTAGATATAGAATCCTCGCAATCTTGATACTCAACCCAACGCGGTATGATGCGGAATTTGCATTAGCTTGATTGAGCTCACCCCTTGCCCGACCGGTCTCAAAAGCCGATCTCAGCTCACACTGCGAACCTCCGAGAATTACCAGCAGTTGTTCTGTGTAGCCGAGACGAGTGCAAGACTTCTCACTATTGTTTGAGCAGCTATCGCTTGCTGTGGCATGAGAACCGGTTTCTGTGTTATTGATGCAGTGGAGCAGGTTGACTTGTTGTCGAGGTTTCTTTTTGCTGAAACGTTGGTCATCAATCTCCACACCGTCATCATGCGGCACGCAACACGCATCATGCAGAGCCCGTTCTGCTCCCGCTGCTGCTGCACAATGCTTCTAGCGTGTTGTTCTTGGTAGGGAATATCACAAATGAACCGAAAGCAGCTCTGTGTAGCCGAGATGCTCGCACGACCCCTCCGACGGGAACGAGTAAGTTACACGGCGGCAGGCAGCTACGTCGGGTGCGTTATTTTGACAACGAACAACGAACAGCGTGATCAGGTTGATTGAGTTCTTTCGTCCGAGAGACCTAATCCCAAGAAGCTCAAACTCGACACCTGCCATGCAGCGCGTGTTCTCCATCTATATAATAGTGCTGCTGCTGCAGTCGCCTTTCGCGCAGAGAGTCTGTTGTGTGCTGTGCTTGCTGTCTAGCGGGACACCACGGCAGGTGTTGTTGTTGTTGTTGTTTCTCACATTAGCTCTATTGTCCACAAAAAACGGGGAGCCCGTGGTCCCAACACCCGGCACATACAACGCCGCGTCGAAGCAAAACAAAAATACGGTACAAACCACTCGGAAAAAGAAATCAAAATGATAGAAAGAAAAGAACAGGTATCGCACCGACCGTTCGAGAAAAGCGCCCTCGGAAACCGATCAAAATAAGACAAAAACAAAAATACAGGAGGACGCTTCCCACACCCGCCCAAAGAAAAAATCAAAGGGTAACGTACCAGCACCAGGCACTGCGCANTGAAAAAAGAAATACAGCAGCACAGAGGCCGAAGGCAATAAAAAGGACATACATAAAGGAGAATAGCATACAGCAGGGAGGGAAACAGGGCGCAACAACATCAGCCGGGACATAGTTCGCCACAAGTGCTGCCTCGCCCGCCCTACTCGCTTCTACAGTAGTGCCCGGTCGCCGTTTCTTCCCCCCCACCGCCGCTTCCCCGGCTCTCTTTCTCTTCGGTCCTGAGATGGCCGTACTCTCTGCTTCTGCTTCCCTCGCGCGCTGGCGCTTGGCGGACGCTTCCACCTCCTGCATGTGCCATTTCCTCATGAACCATGCCGCCCCGCCCTCGACCTTGTTGTACCACACCTCCGGGTCCTTGGCGCTCTCTTTCCATTTCCCCCCTTCCTTTTCGTCTCCCATGTTGAAGGCCACGAGGTCCTCTCCTAGACGAGACACCCAGTCGCTCTCCTGCCCGCCCCGGTATCCCACGCCCCCCGCCATCGCTCCTAACAGCATGCGCTTGGGGAGGCGGCTGTCCTCCATGCGCATATCGAAGCCCGCGAAACACAGTCTCCGTTTGCGCACGGTGGCCTCGATGGTT